ATGAGATTAACTCCAGATTTGATTTTACCAAATAAAGATCGAAGAATCAGTGAATCTGTAAATCCAACGATTGAGACTTGAGAGATAAGAAAATAAAAGAAAATTTAAAACAGTGTAAACAAGAAAACATTGAATAAATGACGCCATCTAATCTTTTAATTATAAATCAAATTCTAAAATTATGTCCTGAACATTTTTAAACATATAACTAATGCTACCTAATTCCTCTGCATTTAAACATTTTCAGCTCTAATTCTCTGTTTAGTGAAGGAATATCTGGAGGATACTAGTATTCATGGGCTTAAATACATAAATCCTGACCGAGGGTTAGTATGTAAACAAAGTATATATGTACGGATACAAAGAAGTACAATAAATATGTAAGGAAATATTGACAAATTGTAAGTCTGTACACATAGAAGATCGTTAACAAGATAGTACAATGGCTAAAACATATGCAGCAAGTTAGTAACTATAAAGTTAGGCAATTAAGTATTTAAATTGTAAGCACCAGATTCCAAATGTGGGGGATAAGTAGTATGTAGTATGTCCAAGTATGCAAACTGCACACTATGCTTGAACTACTATGCTTAAGGCGAATAATTATCGATGGTGATTACTACTAATCTTACTTCTATCTGTTGCGTCTATAAGGAGAAATTTGTTAAAAACGACTCATACCGAAGAACGTAGCGTCCATACAAATTCAGAAAGTTGCAACACTCGACTCGAATCATAAAAAATCAATTTAATTCCAAACAAATCATTAAGATATTACAACCTATAATCATAGTTGATATTTCATAATATTTTGTTTTTGTTTAAAAAAATAATATTTAGCTTACAACATGTTTTTACGGCTGGCGCTGGATTTTCGAAAATTCCTAGAAAATATGAAACTGTCGTTTTCATTATCAAAATCCTCGAAACAGGAAAAAATGTTTTCAAAAGTAACTTTCGAATCATAAAAAATAAAAAAAATATTATGAAATATGCGTAAGTACCAGATCAGCTGCGTTGAGGTTACTTTGTACACAGTACACTGGTCGCGTTTTAGAGGAAATCAAGTGGGTTCCGATATGTTTAAATAGAGAGATCTTAACTATACTTGATGAACAATCAAAGGTTTCAAGGGTACGGTTGTAAATCTTTGCATGGAGGGTCACCTGAAATTACTCTTACAGACCCTTTAATCGTTTAACTTTTTCTAAGCTGTTAAGTATTATAAAATCACTAATTTTTAGTCATCTTGTATCACGGATATTCTGGGCAGTCGGGTTTACGGCCAGTTTACTCTGCGCTGTTTATTTGATATATTTGGTAATTATTTTGACACTTTACACGGATACAATTTTAATTTAAATAGGTGAGCAGTTATGAATGGAAAGATAAAACTAGGATTTTAGGGCGCTTCGCGCTCATCTTCTATTTCAATTGTGAACATTTTCTCTTTGTACACATTGTAAAACATAAACAAAAAAGTTCGCTGATTTCATACACAAATTTCATGGATTTTCAAAATGTTCAAAATTTATTGAAAATCGAATTTTGATGGAGGCAAATTTTTGAAAATTTGATCATCGTGAGGTCTTCCAAAATATCTGGGTCCGATAAGTTCAGCCGTTTTGACGTTTATTGGATACAAACAGACACAGATAATAATAAGCAATATTCTCTCAAGTCTCACGTGGTGGTTTTAATCTGACCACATTAAACCAATCTGTTATTGGTCCACATAGTACAAATATTAGACCATTAGACTGGGAATGATGGATCACCAAATTTCTTGTACAATACTCAGATTTAAAATTTAAATGGACAGAAAACGTAATTTTAAGTGACCCTCTATGCACAGAGGGCAATGTCAGATTGACAACGGCACCATTAAAACGTTTGTGCGTTCGTCGAGTTTATGTAAACATATCTCTGTGCTGGACGAACACACAACAGTTTTAAAGAACATTTGCATGGAGGGTCACTTGAAATTACGCTTATAGTCCCTTTAATTTGAAACTTTCAGTTACTATGAAAATTTTGAACCGCGGATTGTTATTTTTCTTCATTACATTTGAGAAAAATACCGTGTATGTATGTACAATTGTCTATATTTCTTTTCTTTTTAATTCTTCCTTGAAAGAGTGATTTGATAACATTTACAGACACAACAGGGTAACCATTGTCTGACAAGCGGAAAGGTAGAAAATGAGAGTTAATGAAAATTTTGAAATCCATAATAAGCTTTATAATGTTTGATGACAAACCAATGTTTAGAGATATCAACAGTGTTCACCTTTATTTATTCAAGATCAATGTTGTGAACAAATGTGTTTGTTGCGCAGATTAAGACTTTGTTCTTCAGGTGGTTGAGAAGTCTGTCACATCTCCCATCATTGTAGCCTTTGCTAGCTCATCAACACCGATCTGGGATATACCGTTTCCTTCTCTTACCCTTTGTAATATTAACAAGGTAATACCTTTTCCTTCTCTTACCCTTTGTAATATTAACAAGGTAATACCGTTTCCTTCTCTTACCCTTTGTAATATTAACAAGGTAATACCTTTTCCTTCTCTTACCCTTTGTAATATTAACAAGGTAAAAACTTTTTCCTTCTCTTACCCTTTGTAATATTAACAAGGTAAAAACTTTTTCCTTCTCTTACCCTTTGTAATATTAACAAGGTAATTCCTTTTCCTTCTCTTACCCTTTGTAATATTAACAAGGTAATTCCTTTTCCTTCTCTTACCCTTTGAAATATTAACAAGATAATACCTTTTCCTTCTCTTACCCTTTGTAATATTAACAAGTTAATACCTTTTCCTTCTCTTACACTTTGTAATATTAACAAGGTAATTCCTTTTCCTTCTCTTACCCTTTGTAATATTAACAAGTTAATACCTTTTCCTTCTCTTACCCTTTGTAATATTAACAAGTTAATACCTTTTCCTTCTCTTACCCTTTGTAATATTAACAAGTTAATACCTTTTCCTTCTCTTACCCTTTGTAATATTAACAAGGTAATACCTTTTCCTTCTCTTACCCTTTGTAATATTAACAAGGTAATACCGTTTCTTTTGCTTACCCTTTGTAATATTAACAAGTTAATACCTTTTCTTTCACTTACCCTTTGTAATATTAACAAGGTAATACCTTTTCCTACTCTTACCCTTTGTAATCTAAGCAAGGTTTGTTAAAATCCTTTGTTTAGTATAATCGTTCGTTCAGTAAATTCGTTTGTTCAATAAAATCAATCCTTTAGTAAAAAAACAATCGATTTTCATATGTTTGTTCGAAAAAAAATCGTTCGTTCAATAAAAAACAATTGGGTTTTCAAGTTAGTTTAAACAGTTTTTCGTTCGTTTTTTCCGATCGTTTCTTCATTTCTGTGAACGATCCAAGCCATTCGTCCATACTTTGCTTTTTCTTGCAAAATTTCGTCTGTTCTCAAAAATTGTCCATGCCCGGCCATCTCTACGTCTAATAGCTGTTTTTCAGACATACATTTGTTATTTTATAGTTAACTTGCCAATATATTGATTGTATAATGGGACCAACTAATTTGTTATAATTATATCAAATAAAAAAGCAAAATGATCCATCATTTACTTTTTCTAAAAAAAACCTGGAAAAATATAAATGCATAAAATGTTAGGTTCGAAGATCAGCAGCAGAGGAAACTACTAGAGGGCTCAAACTTTACCCAAACGATCCAATCTTGCGTCAAAAGGAGCCTAGATAAATATTTCCATGTCATTTTTACATCACAAAAGTATATAACAAAAGATAAACACATGATTACTATATGGACATTCCATTGTTATAAAAATCATAGACAGGTACCATTTCATCATAGACAGGTACCATTTCATCATAGACAGGTACCATTTCATCATAGACAGGTACCATTTCATCATAGACAGGTACCATTTCATCATAGACAGGTACCATTTCATCATAGACAGGTACCATTTCATCATAGACAGGTACCATTTCATCATAGACAGGTACCATTTCATCGACAGGACATTTAATAAACAGAAAATTTCACAAATATCACATTTTAAAGACAGGTTTTTCATAGACAGAGCAAATTTTCATTTAGATAGGTAATATAGTGTCAAATCTACAAAATTTGCTTTCTAAAAACTGTACTTTCTGTGACATGTCTTTCTATTAAATGACCCCATACCTAAAAAAAAAAATTATCATTAATTGCTGACTTACCCATAAGTAATGTTATACTTTCACACATTTACACAAAATGTTTTAAAAAACAGTATTACTTTTTTCAAAGATCACCAAGGATTTGTGTCTATAAATTTTTTTCGGGTTAAAAGCGCAATTATTCATACTTTCGTTGATGATTATTTAAGTCACGTATGAAAATGTTTCAAAATGTTTCAATTTAGTAAATTCTTGTAATCCAGTTTTCTGATAATATTTTCAAGAGCAGATTACAAGATTTTAAATTCTAAATACGAGGTCAAATCAAAAACTGCAAAGCATGTCAAAACCTCCAAATTATTTTGTTTTATTTAAACATATACATCCAAATATTCAAAAATAAAAGATACAGGGTTACCCATAAAGGATTTAGAGACGACCGTACGTATGGAATTCATACTGTCTGTTTCCTCATAATCATAAGTACCTGCGACTATGAACTTTTTTCTTTCTTTGGCATTAAATAAGCCATTTAAAGAACACATTCATGGCAGAAGAATTGATTTGAACCAGGGATCATTATATTTTAAAAGCTTCATGTCCTCTTTACAGTCTCATCCTTTATGGGTAACCCTGTAAAATGTAGGTTTTACTTATTAAATTGATTGAGGCTCGGGTAATTGAGGATGTGTGCCTGTTAAATGAATCTTTATCCCTTCAAGTAAGAAGAACCAAATTAACCTTAACTAAAAATAATGGAACCTTAGAAGGCCTCAGCTAACCTAAAAACAACTAAATTAAACAGATCTGAGACATTTTTTACAGTGTCTCCTTGCATAGAGCTAATATTTAGTGGCATAAAAATGCAAAAATGTCTTTTCAAAAATTTACGCAGCTAAAATGTCTATTTTTTGTAAGCGCCCAGTAAAATGAACCGAACCAAGCTAGAGGAATTGAATCTTTGCCAAAAGCTTTGATTTTCTAATCCCTATATCTTTGTAACCTAAATGTCAAAAATATTTCATATTTAGATTTTTTGTCTAACAGAATGCATAGCTTGCCATATCTGAGGTCTACGACATTGGATTGAAAAGATGATCGGATTAGAAAATCAGAGTTTGTGGCATTATTTATTTCTTAAGAAAAGTTTTTTATAATTATCTATTTCTATGCAACCTAAATTTGATATTTTAAGTTATGGACTCTGGTAGATTAAATAATCAACGTGTCAAATATCAAGGTTTTAAATTCTAGGTTGCAAAAATATAAGATTAAAGTTTGAGCATTCAGTTGCTTTCTCCTAGACGAATAAAAATTATGTTCAGGATGGTTCTACGTTAGGTTTAAGTTTAAACCATAGTATGCTTGAAATACACCTGCTTGAAATCTCACACTCATGTGAGGATATGCTTTTAGCATGTTCGTTTCAGGTAAACAATATCTAATCAAAATATAAAGGAAATCACGATAACGAAAGTTAAAACTGTTGTAAAATGAATTTTTGCAGGTTGTTTAAAAAATGTAACAATTTTATACTTTTAATGTTTATCTGTAAACAAATTGGAATACAGCTTTATCTTATTTTTAAACTGTATTATCAGTGATTCAAACTAAAATAGGTTAGTGAGCAGCGACTTTGTAGAATTAAAACCAAAAATTAAAAGAGAATATGTGGAAGACGATGCCTGACCGCCTTAAACAAGTTCCACAAGATTCAACGGAATGAGATAGAATGGATACGGGGCATTGTACTGACGGACAGTCTACACGTGTGATATCGAGATAGACTCATGTTCTGAACCCTCTAGTAATAAGTTATAAGAAATATATATACTGGAAGTTATTTATGCGTTTTTATTAGAGTCTGACCCACGTCATCTATAAGTAAAAAAATACGAGGAATAATATTTTATGAATAAAGCAAATATAATGTCTTGCATTTCAGTAATACAGGGTTCCCCATAAAAGATGCCACTGCAAAAACGACCCAAAACTCTTTAAATATGACGATTCCAAGTTCAAATTAAGTCTTTTGCCCTAAATATAGTATTTTAATGACTTATTTAATGATTTTGCAAAGAAAAAAAATGATTTTCAGGGGAATCATGAATATAAAGATACTTACTGTATAAAATCACTACAGTCGTCTCTGAATTCTCATCCTTTGTGGTTAACCCTGTATAAACCCTAACGAGCGCTAGGGTCTTGGAAACTAGTCTCTGCATCTTTTTGTTAAACGCTTTTAATTTGTATAGAGTTCATGTTTAAACACGTGACTTTACTAAAGCCTAAAATTTAACATAATAAAATAATTATAATTATCAAACATTCTTTAATCCTGTAAAATACGTGAGGGGTGGGACCAGGGGGAAGGGCATCCTGTGGCAACTCCCATTAGAAAAAAAAAGTTTAATGGTTGAGTTTATGCAGGTGGGCTTAGTCCTTAATTTGTATCCTTCGTTGATGAAATGTTTATTTCTGTATTATGAAAATTGATAAAAGTTTTTTTTAGGGAATACGCCGGCCTTGTAAAGAGATATTCTCATCTGTTTTAACAGATAATGGACTTTGCTGTGCATTCAATGTAATGCCTCAACCCGTCATGTACAGGTACATTTTACTCAAAAATTAACTGATTACTCACCTTAATATCTAGTTTTATGATTATCATATCTTTGCAACCTGTGAGATTTTAAACATTAATTTAGAAAAAATTCACAGTTTGAAATATCAAAGGTCTACAGATTACGACATCAGGTTACAAAAATATAAGAATCTGTAAAACTAGAGCAAGTAATCCGATTCATTTTGGGAAGTATTGAATAAAATCGTAACAAAAATGTAATGTGTCTGAAATCCAAAACATAAACTTGATTCTTCTAAATTTTGTTCTAAACTATTCGATATAAAAAGCACAATTAATGATAGGAATATACCCGATATAAATGGCGAAAAAGATGATTGGAATAAATGGGACCCTGAGAAAGGGTACAGTACTAAACCGAAGTTTCAGAAAATATCTCAGGTAATCAAATGAAATATGAAAAATTGATTAAACCAACAAGTTTTTCCTTCATATTACTTGGGCATGGACAAAATGGCATGACACAAAAAACGGATATACATAAATTATTAAACATTCATTGCTTTTGAAACATATTCAATTGCGAAACTAATCTCTGAAACACACATTTCACTTAATTTGTTGGAAATTATTTTAATCGTAATTTCAAGAAGTGACCCTCCATTTATAGGGTGGTGTGTTCGATTCACAACGGTACCCTTACAGCCGCGTATGATAAAAAATTAATGACATCATATTTTTAGGGTATTTTCTAAAGTTGAATATTTACAATTGGGATTTACCGAGAAAGGTGACTGTATGCTTTAGAAAAATAAGGATTTTTTCCCGAGGTATGAGGTATAAAGGTTTAAAGGGTACCAAACCAATGTGAATCATTAAATATGTTAATTCTTCCTAGTTTGAAACTAGTGATGGTGTTCCTCCTAAACTAGAAGAGGATCTTCCCAGGTTTACTTGGATTATTGGATTCATCGCAAATTAAACTTTTATTTTTTTTAGCTTTTCTAGTTAGAAAAGGTTAAAAAATTAAACGGGAGTGTTCGCGAAAAATGAAAAAAGCGCTTTTGATCTATACTAATCTTACTTCTATCTGTTGTGTCTATCAGGAAAAAATTGTTAAAAACGACTCATGCTGAAGAACGTGCAGGCGTCCATAAAAATTCAGAAATTTTCAACATTCAACTCGGATCGTAAAATAATCAATTTAATTCCAAACAAATCATTCAGATATTACAAACAATAGTCATCTATTATTCTTCGACGCATTCATATATAGCAAATATTTAATAATAGTTTTGATTCTGTTTTAAAAAAATAAAATTTCGCTGGCGCTGGATTTTCGAACATTCCTGAAAAATATAAAAATGTCGTCTTCATTGTCAAAAATCGTAGAAACAGGAATAAATGTTTTCAAAAGTAACTCTCAGATCATAAAAAATAAAAAAAATATTATGAAATATCAGTTGTATACAAATGCGTCGAAAAATTATCGATGATTATTGGTTGTATTATATGAATGATTTGTTTGGAATTAAATTAAACAGTTAATTGTGGTTGCTTGGTTGGTAAATCTAATTTAATAATATCTCTTTAACAAGACTTAATTGAGAACGTTGAGAACAGTTTAATTAAATATTCATAAGACAACAATACATGATGCTGATTTTAAAGTTCATCTAGTCGGTGACTAATAAATCATTAAAAAGAAAAAGAATAAGAAAAAAAAAACAAGATTATTTTACCAAATCAAAAAGGAAAATTATTTTTTATTGAAATTATAAAAGTTTTGATATTTCTAAGCAGAGCATATTTAATTCTTTTTTTAATTACATACAATTTAAAGGGAGTGTTCGCGAAAAATATGCGCTTTTGATCGCTACTATTCTTACTTCTATCTATTGCGTCTATAAGTAGAAAATTGTTAAAAATGACTTGTACCGAATAACGTAGAGTCCGTACAAATTGAGAAAGTTGCAACACACAACTCGGATCGTAAAATAACCAATTTAATTTCAAACAAATCATTCAGATATTACAAACAATAGTCATCAATTATTTTTCGACGCATTCATATATAGTTAATATTTCATAATATTTTTGATTAAGTTTTTTTTTAAGATAATACTCACTAGCTCTAGGTTTTCGAACATTCCTAGAAAATATAAAACTGTCGTCTTCATTATCAAAAATCCTTGAAAGAGGAATAAATGTGTTCAAAAGTAATTCTATCATATCATAAAACGTAAAAAAATATTCTGAAATATTAACTATATACGAATGCGTCGAAAAATAATCGATGACTTTAGGTTGTAATATCTGAATGATTTATTTGTAATTAAATTGATTATTTTACGATACGAGTCGTATATTGCAACTTTCTGAATTTGTATGGACGCTACGTTCTTCGGTATGAGTGGTTTTTAACCATTTTCTCCTTATAGACGCAACAGATAAAAGTATAATTCGAAGCGATCACATGCGCTTATTTTACGCCGTAAGCGCATACCCCCTTTCATTTTTCGCAAACACTCCCTTTAAGAATCCCAAATTTAATTTTCCAGACGTACTATTGCGCCTGGGATAGAAATGGGACTGAGCATCACACTAAATATTCAAACAGGAACTACATTTTTATTGATTTAAAAAATTGGTTGCAAAAAATAAGGTGACACAAAAGCCTTTTTTATAAAGAAAGGTTTTACAAATTTTCTGGAAGTTGTTTTCTGTGATTCAAAGTATTTTGTGATTTTGTGAGCGTTTAGCTGTAATTTTCACTTTTTGTGTATTTCTAAGGGTTCTGTTTCACTTATATCTAATGTTAGTATAACTAATTATGATAAAAAAAATATAATGCAGATGAAGCCTTTTGTTCTTCATTTCAGTCTACAGGGATCAAGGCAGTTTACTTTTTAATCTTAAAATACTCTATACTTCACGCCCCGCTGTTTGTGACAAACCGGTCATGGGGTTTATGTGTTATGATCGGACATCCCAACAGACAAACAGAGATTAAGATAAGATACCCAACTAATCGGATATCGGAACCAACAGACAGGAAATAGAATTTCAGAGATTACTTCGTTAGAAATTTAGATAAATTCTCATGATTTTATTTTTCAATATTTCCTTGTTTAAAAAAAACTGAACAGGGTCTTCTGCATGGTCCAATAACTCAGGTAAATACATTCAACCTAACCCTAGTTGCAGCGGTTCACCTCATAAAAAAACCTAGCCGCTGCATCACAATCCAACCTCCCCGAGTCGCAGCGCCATCTTTCCTCCACGAGCCGCAGCGCCATCCAACCTCTACGAGCCGTAGCGCCATTATGCATCCTCCCTGAGGTCAGAGCAATTCAATCTCCCCGAGCCGCAGCACCATCCATCCTCCCCGAGTCACCATCCAACCTTCGTCGAGCCACAGCACCATCCATCCTCATCGATGTGCAGCCCAATCCAACCGCCCCAAGTTAAAGCATGCCATATAACTGCAAAACCATACAATTATCCTTATTGTATTATCTGCATGGCTCGCAGCGCCATCCACCTTCCCAATTCAATGTCCCCTCCTTCCCTACACCGTACCCCCCCCCCCCCTCCTCTAACCGAAACTCCATTTAATTTGTCTTCCACCAGTGCAAATCAACAATTTGTAATGTATCATATGAATGTGTACCTTCATCTTGTTTGTATCGGAATATTTTGATCGCTCATTCAGAATCAGTGAAAAATAACATTAGAGACTTTTCGTAATTTAGTATTTAAAATATACTAGGCTTTTAGGGCGCTTCGCGCCCATCTTCTATTTCAACTTTTAATTGTGGCTTTATCCTGTGAGCATCTTCTCTTTGTACAGTATAAAAGCAAAAACAAAAAAGTTTTCGGATTTCATCATATTTTTTCGCGCATTTTCGAAATTTTACAAAATTAAAAAACTTTTTTACACAAATTTTTAAAATTTTCATTATTCATAAACCTTTCCTGGGGTCAAGTGAGGTCCCATACAAATTTGGGCCCGATCGGTTCAGCCGTTTTGACGTTTATTGGACACAGACAAACAATCAAACACCAACCCAGACAAGCTAAATTTAAATATAGATAGCGCCAAAATAAATTACAAAGTACGAAAAGCCTACGTGAACAGGGTGAAAATGGGTTATAAAAACTCACTGGACTTTTAACCAGGACCTTTGGTTTATCGTCATTTTAGAGTAAATTATTGAATTTAAGATGAATTTTTGTTACTATTTTAAATTCCTATTTCAGCCTGATATGTTAAACTATGGGTTTGGGTTAGCTGGAGGAACAGAGAATTTCTACAGTTTGACTCCAAAGGTATATTCAAGAAAAAAATGTCACACACAAACTTCAAGTGAAGCCAAGTATATTTGAGCCGCGTCTCAACTTTAAGCCGCGGCTCAAATTCAAATTGAAATTGAAATTCTTTGACCTCTGATAGGATATTTAACAGGATGTTTATTTTAAAAATAAAATTTTTTGAGGTAATTCATGCTGATCCCGCAGTTCGTGAAACTAATCCTCAAACTAAGAATTGTTATCTTCAAGAAGAGAAATATCTTAAGTAAGTTGTCTATTACAGGAATTGGCAGTTGGGATTTTGTAGCCCGTTGCATCCCTCGTTTTATTTTATTTTTGGCATTGATTTTATTTAATTATGGAAAAGTTTGTGGCTGAAAGAAGGAATATATATCGCAGGAAAAAAAATTTAACCCTTTGTTAACAGTTTAATTTATTTTTCATTCACTAACTAATTATACTTAATGTATACAAACTTAATTTTTTTTAGGTTTTATTCATTCTACAGCTTGAATAATTATTTAATGGAGTGCCAGGGAAGCTGCAAAATAAAGGGAACGTTAAATGTCAATGGAACTCAGCTAAAGAAAGGATTCACTATACCGGATGTAAATAAATAGATAAGTTTGAGTTGTCGACCGTTTACCCCAATGAATATTTCAAATTAATTCATTATAAGAAATAAAATAGACTATCAGAAACTTCTTGAAAAATATTTAATTTTAACGCGATTTGTATCACATAATCCCAATACAATAACTAAATAAATTAAGACTTAAGTTCCGTTTTTTTTAAATTGAGGTTGCTTTTTACGAGTTGGCACAAACCCGGGACTGAAAATTAGAATAAGAAGAAGGTTTTTTGGCTAGTGGTGTGAATCGGAAATGCACTGTTCTTGAAATTACAAACTCAAGTTACTTTAAGAGAAAATCATTCATAAATAAATGTCAAATCTATCTCTGTACACAATGGAACAAAACATGTTACAATAATGGTTGAAAATAAGAAATAAGTAAATATAAATATGCCACACATAGATTACTAAAAACTTTGATCGACAAGTAAAGAGTAGAGTATTTTTTTGAATTTTTAATATTTTTAAATGCTCAAAAATGGTCTTATTTTGTAAAAAAAAAATATTACTTCTTGGATCCAAACAAATTTAACACAGTTAATTTAAATGAAGATTACGTAATATTCTTTTATAATGATTACTATTTCGGTTTTTTGCCTCTTGAAGCGAAATGAAAATTGCAGAATCTTGTAAATATTGAGAAATTGCACAATATTTTACCTTGTAAAATAGACACCCACACTTGTTTTTTTTTAAATCATCATGGAAAAATAAACGAATCCTCAAGTTCAGCAAAAATGGAAACTCTATCACAAACTTCCTTTTTTACAGAGAGCTTTTTATAAAACTAAATTCTTATTTTTAATTTATAAAATCTTTTTTTGCAAAGCAGGTTATTTTGGTTTGTTGAGAAATTCATTAAAATGTTTTCTTGAAAAGCACGAATTCATTGTCATGTTTAATTGTCTAATTGATAAAAAACAACTTTGAGAAATTAAAAACATCTTTGCATGGAAAGAACGTCATTTGGTAAATTGTTAAAATCGTTTTTTAACCAAGCTATCCAACCTTATCAAAAGATTTTTTTGATTGCTGTCTTTTTCATCATTTAAATCATGTGGTTAATCTTCAAAAACATAAGATTAATCATTCCACCAAAGAAGATATTTTTTAAACGAATACAAATTATCATCAAAATCATGGATTTTATTCTTTAAATCTTAGAGTTCTTCGTTTGACCAATGAAGTTTATTCTCTTAATACTCACGCATTTAGGAGATTTCCAATCATTGTTCCCAATTTTGATAATATGACCCCCCCGGCCCCCCCCCCCATTCTGCGGTCATAAAAAGATTTAGATCCTCTAGACTAATTTTTCTATCCAGGGTTCCCTGGTGCTTTGAATGATAATTGCGCCTGTCTCCCCTCCTGCTCAGAATATGATTATGAAGCTATCAATTCAATGACAAGGTTGGTAAATGGTAGGGCTGGGCATGTTCCGACTTTTTGATCTCACTTTTCCGTTCTAGAACGATGGCCTTCAGCTAGATCGTTTGTTCCTGGTTCTTTTTTTCCAATCGTTCCATCCATGTTCCGTTCCGTTTTGTTCTTGATGTTCTTAGTCGAGAACGGTTCTATCCCCGTTCCGTTCACTTCTTGTCGAGAATGGTTCCATCCTCATTCCGTTCGTTGATAGCTCTCCTTTTGCAGTGACGGTACATAGCCGGGACCTGGCCAACAAAGTTTACTGCACAGCTTGTTTGCGAAATGCTCTAATTCAGAGATAGCTATGCTAGAAGTCGGTCCGGGCCCTCAACCTGCTCTTAGATAATATAAGGTTGATCGGGACAATTATTGTTTAAATGGCGCAAACAAATTATTAGAATGGGGAACAGGTTGCATTGAGGTTGGGGAAGAGGTTTTTATTAACTCTAGATGATTTAGAACAAGTTCCTGTTTTAAAATGCGTTCCCGACTGAGACTGCGCTGCTGATAATAAGAAGGCGTTCCTGATTTTAACGTTCTCTTCAACCAATTTCCTTTTGTTCTGCGTTCGTTCTTTTAATAATCAATCCAATATTTTTAATATACGCATTCTATGTGTTCGTTCTTTTTTTCGGAACGATGGGATCGTTCTTGATAAATCTGGTCGTTTTCGTGAAAGAACGATCGCTCCCGAGGATTGACACCCAACCCAAGTAAATGGTAGTACATTCAGAGGCCGTTCCTTCCATAAACTACATTGGTCGACAACTTGACGTCTCCTATATTGGTCGTGAAATGTACGGAGAAATAGTGTTTTGTTCAAACGCGTTCTTCCATATGAGTTATCAGTGTCCGAGTATTGTCCGACCATAAACACATACATATGCGACCCCTATCGACGGAAAAAAAGGGAAAGCTCACGGGAATTTCTTCAAAACAAAAAGCTAAGAAAAGTTCTAAAATTAATGTTCTAAAATGTACTTGTCAAGGGCTACAAAAAGTATTTGTGTGTGCTAGTGAGGTAAAATCAAAGACCAATGCGTTTTGGAACTTTAAAGTTGGCCCAGTTTGCAATTTTTCTTGTGCCCTGTGTACAATGCACATTGAATATACTACTAACATTAGATTATCTCAATATATATAATTAAAGAATATAAATGCGCAATTTGCAGATACGTAATCCTTGAATTTTTTTTTCTTTAAATTTTATTAAAACAGCTCAGTTCTTCTATGCTTCTAATATTTAATTTTTGAATAACAAAAGACAAAGCGTTGCAGGTAAAAAATATTTTCAGACTAACTGATTCAATGTCTACCAAATTACCTCTTGATGTACTGGCACGGTTTCCAGAAATGAAGGACAATACGTTCTTGAAAGAAAATATAGCAGTATTGCATGTTTACTACAGGTAAAATCATTTCTTCAACCCGGCAAACATTGGTTTTTTCATCTTCTACAACTATTTGGAAGCAAAACAAGAAAAGAATGGAGTTGATGCTATCTCATTTGAACTACTCCCGTTTGAACTATTGTTCATTTGAACTATTTTTCATTTCATTTGAACTATTTTCATATAACTATTAATATTTTAAATGAAATAAACAAAAAAATTGTTCAAATGAACATTAAAATAGTTCAAATGGACATAAAACAATTCCAATGAACAAAAAAATAGTTCAAATGAACAAAAAAATAGTTCAAATGAACACAAAAATAGTTTAAATAAACAAAAAAATAGTTCAAATGAAATAGTTCAAAAATGAAAAAAATAGCTCAAATAAGAAAAAAATATTTCAAATGAAAATGACAAAAAAAGTTAAAATGGACATAAAAATAGTTCGAAATGGACATGAAAATAGTTCAAATGAAAACAAAAATAGTTCAAATGGACAAAAAAATAGTTCGAATGGACAAAAAAATAGTTCAAATGAAAAAAAAATTTGTTGAAATGAACAAAAAAAATAGTTCGAAACACAAAAAAATATTTTAAATGGACAATAAAAATAGTTCAAATAGATAAAAAATAGTTCAAATGGACATCAAAATAGTTCAAGTGAACAAAAAATTTGTTAAAATGTGTAAAAAAAGATGGTTCAAATGAACACAAAAAAAATCTTGCCCCCCGCTCGCAAAACTCTTTTATCTTGTATTGGTCACTGAAACTGTAACATCGGACACAAATATCACATGACACTATTTCCACAGGTTGCCAATGGGCACGTATTAGTGGATTGTAATCAGCTGTGAATCAGCTAAGGTGATTAGGGGAGGGGGCCCGCAGGCCCGTGGGAGGTGGTGTATTTATCGACCTACACATATCCGCCATACTCCACTTCTGACCTACGCCAAATCCGCTATACTACACATCCGACCTACTAGCACGTGGTATTACAGCTGCTATATGGACTTGTAGCCGCAGCGCCCGGCCCCCTAGCCTGTCCTAGCCGCAGCACTCGGCCCAGAAATTGTCCTAACCTAACCTAACCCTCTAATAATACTAAAATAAACAGCTGGCGTAGGTCCGATATTGCAGTTGGTCGGAAAGTTAGTAGGTCAGAAGTTCAGGAGAGGGGGATGTTGCGTATAGACGATGTACCATTACCCCGTGGGAGGTGAAAGATAAAGGGGCAACAATTTTATTTGAAACTTTTGTTTGTTTATTTTTCATTTGAACTATTTTTTTTCATTTAAAACTATATTTCAATTCATTTCAATTTTTTTTCATTTGAACTATTTCATTTGAACTATTTTTATGTTCATTTGAACTTTTTTTTCATTTGAATTATTTTCATGTTCATTTGAACTATTTTTATGTTCATTTGAACAATCATTTTTCATTTGAACTATTTTTAAATTCATTTGAACTATTCTTTTTTTCATTTGAACTAATTCATTTGAACTATTTTTATGTTCATTTGAACTATTTTTATGTTTATTTAAACTATTTTTTTGTTAATTTAAACTATTTTAATTGTCATGAACTATAACTTAATGGGAGTTTAAAAAAAAAAAAAATTTATAACTGAATTGGGGTAGAAAAATAGTTCAATTATGAGCAAGAAATGCGTTGATTTAAACTACAGGATATGACGTCACGTCAGTAGTTCAAATGAACACTAGTTCAAACGAAAAATAGTTCAAATGTACCATAGTTCAAACGGCAGTAGTTCAAATGAGAATCCACCCAGTTGGAGCAACCTGATCTAGGCAGGATAGTTTATCCTAAGTTTATCAGTATACTCAAGATATACCGGAGCTATGTTCAATCTATATATCTACTCTGGAGATATCGGAGTTGTGTTTAATCAATCAATCAATCCACTCTGTATATAGACGAGCTTTGTTCAATCAACCAATCTATTCTGAGAGTTTATATGTCGTATTTATCTTGTGAAAGATTTTTTTAGAAGTCGTCTTTTTTATGAAAAATATCAGATGTTCATAGGATCTTTTTTAAATGAGCTGATCAGACCCACTTTAGTATGTGTCTTTCTCCTTATTTCAGCACTTTTTTGGTTTTAATTTTAGATATCCTGATTTCTCATTTTACCTCAACAATCCCTTCTTAACGTTAACTTCTTTTAATCAGTGTTAACATTTGTTTACCGATCCATTTTTTATTCACTTTATTTTACAAGATTATTTATACCCATGAAAGTATAACATGTTTTGTACATATTTCAGAGAGAATGGCAGAAATTATGGAAAAAGATAAAGTAACCATGAACGAAGAAATCTCTACTGTAGAGAATGCATGTACTGAACTTGTATTGGGAGAAGATGTAAAAGAAGAAAGTACAGAAAATCAAGGTATTGTTAAACATTTTACAAATATATATATATATCTATTTATATTTATATTTATGATTTTTGAAGTTTTTATTTTGAAGTTTAAACTTCTAAATCTAAAAAGCCTTGCAGTAATTGATATTTCAAAAAACAAAACAAAAAGGTATCCGGTAAAAAAATATTCTTTAAACATGTCAATCTTGGTATAGAAAGATTCACCTGGACCCAGTGAATAATGTCCATTTGTTCTTGTTTTCACATTTTTACAATTATTTTAAACAATGGCCAAAATACTGTTTTTATGGAACTCGGTCAATTTTTGGTCTATGGACTAAAATATCCGTTTTTGCCTCTTATTTGTTTCAATATCAACAAATTTAGTTTACCATACGGATCAGGGGTTCAAACAATTCAATTTCTGATCCAAAATAAGATCGGGGTTGAAAGTACATTTAGGGGCATGAAAATACACTTTCGGTGTCATATTGAACTAAAACTAAACATAATTTTAGTAAGTTTTATATAGAAGGGCACCCTCAGCTATAACCGCCTGATCTTTCGGTCAGGCAGAATAAAACTCAGGTTGGGACAATAATGAACCAAGTCCCAGGGCGTAGGAGAGGGGGGGTCGAGCCCCCCGGCCCCCCCTACGCGTGCCCCTTTCAGGGTGGGGTTCTTTTAATATTAGTTATTACATCTTCCTCAGGCAATCTACATTCTACATTGCATCGCACTCACCCAAATTAAAAGATTAAGAAAAGATTGAAATATATTCTGATTCACAACAAAGCTTTGTCTGATCAAGTATTGCATTAAAAATCCTTGTTTCCCATTTTGAAAACTGAATATTTTTACTTGTGATTTCTCTACAAAAGTGACTCGCACATTTCTTGCTTCAGAAACGATGGAGAAATGAAGGTTTCAAAGGTACATCTATAAATGGAGGGTCACTTGAAATTACGCATGTATTTATTCCATTTAAGTATAATTATATCGTTAAGAAAAAAATACTTTAAAATCTCACTTTGCCCTTAACTAAAAATGTTTCATTAAAAAAAGCTTTAATCAATACTGGCTTCAGTGTAAATATATATTTGATACCATATTTTATTATACAATATGTATCAATCCTATGAAAATATAGATATTTTTTTAGAAACGTTTCCATCTATATTTGTCATCCCTTAAAGCTTTCACCACAGTATTTTGTGTTCCCCACCCCTTGGCAACATTGTGCCCCCTCCCCCCTTAAGAAAATTACATAAATTTAAGTTTACACAGTTGAAAAAGGATTTTTAAAGGGGGGGGGGCACAATGTTGCCAAGGGGGGCACAACATTTTTTTTTTGCGCGCTGCCCCTGCAGCCGAGTCCCCTCTTCTTCCTCCTATTTGGTCCAAAATAGCCGGCACTATCAGGGTGTATTGTCACGTTTGCCTGCACTCTGTGTAAGGTAGTTTCATGCCAGGGAGAGATGAGGGAGGTGGTAAATATTAGTTTCCGGAAACTTACATGTTCTTCTCAATTCTTTTCCATCTGAGCTCATTTGTGTGGAATAATAAATCTTCAAAAAAAAAGTAATTTTTGGTTTTTTGTCAGTTTGTCTGTTTGTTAATCTAGCCATAACCCATTAACCCCTTAAATTTTGATTGGGCATCTCGTTAGAACCAAGGAGATGTACTTGGCTTGGTTTAGAAGTTCTACGTGACTTTAATATCGAAAGTTTAATTTTTAGGCAAAGCTGGGTTCTTGAGTTCGTTTTCTGATTATATAGATATATTTGAAATACAAAAGTAATTTTTATGGGCAGAAAGAGGCGAGGGGGCTGGGCGAGAGGGGGAGGGAATTGAAAAACTGGTATTTAAAAAATAAATATTTACATATTAAGGTGGGTTGAATACTGGAATACAGGATACTGAACAAAATAAATCTGTATTTGATCCTGCTATACACACAGAGCTCATCATTAAAGATGAGTACGGGGAATTTGGTTCAGGTAATGAGAAATCTTATTTTGTAACAATTAAATCAATTATAATGTGAAATGAGGACTATTTAGCTTGTAAATATAACATTTATTGAATGGCAGAAATTATGGAAGAAGATAAAGTTGCCATCAAAGAAGAAATCTCTACTATAGAGGATACATGTACTGTATTTGTAGTGGGAGAAGATGTAAAAGAAGAAAGTACAGAAAATCAAGGTATTTAACATTTATATATAGATATATACATATTAATGATATGATAGATTTTTTTTATGTTTTTTAAGAAGTTTAAGCTTATGAATCTAATATACCCTTTCCGCAATTGATATTTGCTATTTAGCGTTTCAAAAATGGAAAAAGCGGTAAAAAATTCTTTAAAACAAGTCAATCTGGTATATAAAGATGCACCTGGAGCCGGTGAATAATAAAAATATGTTTTTTTTGATAATTAAAAAAATTATATATGGCCAAAATAAAGATTATTTTGGTACTCGGTAAAATTTTGGTGTATGGGCTAAAATATCCGTTTTTGCATCTTATTTGTTTCAATATCAACAAATTGAGTGTACCATACGGATCAGGGCCGGTTCAAACAATTCAATTTCAGAAATGTAAATATCAGTAATCAATATAAGAGATAAATTATGATATACAGAAAAATAAACCCTTGCAGTTTACATTCTGCAGTTTGGATTTTTTTACAACTAGATATTATACTTCCATTGTTCACAATAATTAAGTTTAATTCCTGCCCCACAATATCAATCAATCAACATTTGGAATTGTATTGGATGGACTTAAACGGACCCCTAATAAACATCAATTTTTTCCGCACGTGTACCTGAACTAACCTTAAATTTCATATAAAAGGCTAGATGGATAATTTATTTACTAATTAAAGGGACTGTTTGTAAACATAATTTCAAGTGACCCTCAATTAATAGAGTGGCATTTGAGATTTTGAACGGTTCTCTTAAAAGCTTTGTTTTGACCAACTTTGACTGAGATATCCATAATTTTGTTTTTAAATAACATTTTTTTCATTAATGACCTCTCCAGACAAAAATAATGCTTGAAATTACAAGGACAGTTCCGTTAGTTAAAGATTTTATTGAAAATTCAAACCCATTTGAGATTCTTGAGATTTATATTTTAATAATTCTATTTTTGAATTTTTCAGGTGAAGTCTTCAAGATTGAAGAAGATCCCCTTTTCTCTGTACAAAAGAGGCTTAAAAAGAGTAAGCTAAGAGGTAAAAGAAATAAAAGTTTTCCCTGTGGGAAATGTGATTATGTGGCAACTGAATCCACTAATTTGAAGAGACATATTAGAAATAAACATGAAGGATTGATATATCCTTGTTCTCGTTGTGAATATACTGCCACTCAAGCAGGGCATCTGAAAATACATATTAAAAATAAGCATGGAGAAGTAAGATTTTCCTGCGATAAGTGTGAATATGTTGCTTCCGGTGTAAGGAGACTGAAGTTACACATTGACTCTAAACATGTAGGAGTAAGATATCCATGCGACAAATGTGATCACGCTGCCACTACAGCAAGTTTTCTGAAAAGACATATTGAAATTAAACATGAAGGAGTGAGATATCCCTGTAACCAGTGTGAATATGTTGCCACAAGTGTAGGGGGTCTGAAAATACACATTGAATCTAAACATGAAGGAGTGAGATATCCATGCGACCAATGTGATCATGTTGCCACGACAGCAAGTCGTCTGAAGATACATATTGAAACTAAACATGAAGGAGTGAGATATCTATGCGACCAATGTGATCACTCTGTCACTAGAGCAAGTTATCTGAAAAGACATATTAAAAATATTCATGAAGGAGTGAGATATCCTTGTTCTCATTGTGAATACACTGCCACTCAAGCAGGGCATTTGAAAATACATATTAAAAATAAGCATGAAGGAGTGAGATATCCATGCGATCAGTGTGAATACGCTGCCACAGAAACAAGTAGTCTGAAGAAACATATCAAAAATAAACATGAAGGAGTGAGATATCCTTGCGATCAATGTGAATACGCTGCCACTGGAACAAGTAGTCTTAAGAAACATATTAGAAATAAACATGAAGGAGTGAGGTATCCCTGTGATCAGTGTGAATACGCTGCCACTGCTTTAAGTATTCTGAAGAAACATATTGAATCTGAACATGACGGAGTGACATATCCCTGCGATAAGTGTGAATATGTTGCTACTGGTGTAGGGAGTTTGAAGTTACACATTGACTCTAAACATAAAGGAGTGAGTTATCCCTGTAACCAGTGTATATACGTTGCCACAAGTGTGAGAAGTCTGAAGTTACACATTAAATCTAAACATGAAGGAGTGAGATATGCGTGCGATCAATGTGATTACGCTGCCACTGCTTTAAGTATTCTGAAGAGACATATTGAATCTAAACATGAAGGAGTGAGATATCCCTGTGGCCACTGTATGTATGCTGCAACAGACCCAAGAAATCTGAAGAAACATATTAAAGTTAAACATGAAGGAGTGAGATATCCCTGTGATCAGTGTGAATACATTGCTACTGGTGTACAGGGTCTGAAGTTACATATTGAATTTAAACATGAAGGAGTGAGATATTCTTGCGATCACTGTGAATACACTGCCACTGAACCAAGACATCTGAAGAAACATATTAAATCTAAACACGAAGGAGTGAAATATCCCTGCGATCAATGTGAGTACTCTGCCATTACAGTAAGTAATCTGAAGATGCACATTGAACATTTTCATAAAGGAGTTAGATATCCCTGTGATCAGTGTGAATACGTTGCCACTCTATCCTGTCATTTAAAAACACATAAAAAAGTGAATCATATTAATTAAGAAGGGCTTTGCACTATAAACTTGAATTTATCATTTCTCTGTAATTAATTAATTTTTTATTGTATAATTTAATATATTTTTTTTTTAGAGCTGAAATTTTTAGAATGAGATATCCTCAATTCCAATTTCTTTATCTGAGTATCCAATGGACACACTTTTGATTTTCTTCTTAATCCTCTCTTTTTGGATTCTTCTTCTATATAAAAGTTTCTTTTGATAACAATTACAGATACGATTGGACTGATATCCGATTGAACTATAATGAGCTGTTCACAGATGGGCTTTTAGAGCATTTAAACAAATATAAACTTAATCATGTTATCATATTTGAGGACTATAGTCATTTTGAACGTTAGTCTTAACAAACATTAATCCAAGACTTACGTTCGTTTAATCGATCATTAGTTTAAATGATATGACACCATCAACACCAGAAATGCGCAAAAAATAAAAACCTGTTTTTCAAAAGTTAAAGAGTCATCTTAACATGACACGCCGATTGATTGAATTTTAAACTTTTTTCTGGGATATCGATTGCGTATTAACCTAATCTCGGCTTTAGGAAAGCCAGGAGATCAAGCATTGATCTCTATATAGAGAATATTGTGAATATATATTCACAATTCTAAAGTTCTCAGCTCAGGTTGTATATTTCCTTTATCAAAACCCAACTGTGTTCCCACCCTCCCCTCATCATTCTTATTTTCTTAGATAATGTTTTTAACATTTTTACATTTTTGTAGAAGATTATTACATCTTTGAACAATAAAAAAGATTATAAACGTTTTTTTTTCAATTTTATGAATTAACAAATTTCATGCGAACTTTTTAAGGAAGGATATTTGTCTCATACTGGATTAACTATTTTTAAATTTTTTTTCCATTTTTAAAATTTTAATATTCTTGATACTTTTTCAACAACATATTATTGGTAAAGTTTTTTTTTCAATTTTATGAAAAACCAAATATCATGCTAAACTTACATGAAAGGATTCTTGTATCATACAACATAGATAAACTTTTTTTGAATATTTAAAAAATATTTTTGACCAAACTGTCCACAACAATTTTGGTTTCATTGGAGATGTAAAAAATGATATCATGTGAGCAGTTAAAATTACATTGAATCTAATTTTCAGATAAAATGGAAAAGACTGAAAAGAAATGGTTAAATATATTAGAGCAGATTAAATCCTTCCATCCTCTATTGTAGAAAATACATGTACTGAAGATACAGGAATACAAGGTAAACTTAGAAGTAATCGAAAGTGTTTTAGAGAATATAGAATTTATAATTCTCAAGGTAAACTTGAAGTAATCCAAAGTGCTTTAGGGAATATAGAACTTATAATTCTCATGAATGGATTAGTCTTTTTTATCCCCATGTATTAAATTTTCCCCAGTATCCCCCGTGCCCTTTTAAATAATATTTTTAATTTTCCACAAATAATATTTAGATTGATTTGTTGAACTGTAATAACTATTCAGAGATCTGAGACCCTGGAGCTTTATTCAATCAAATAGTTTACTCTGGAGATATCGGAGTTATGTTCAATCGATTTTTATTCCAGAGAGATCAGAGCTGTGTTCAATCAATCAATCTTTAAGATGTCATCTTTGTCATGTAAAAGATGTGTATAAATGTCGTCTTTCTTAATGAAAGGGATCAGCTGTTCATGGCATCTTATCCAAATGAGCTGATCTGACCAAGTAAAGTATGCGTTTTATATGAAGTAATATGCAGTCATAATAAAGAAATAAAAACTAGAACTTATTGGTATTTATAACCAAATTTTTTACAAATATTTTATTCATGGGCTGAAATTAACAAAAATTGTTTATCTGTCTGTCTGTCTGTAGAGTATGAGTTTTTGTCAAAGCAGAATATCTAATGTCTATTTTTTTGTAGATTAATTCATTCAAATTTCAGCAGTTTATTATCTAAACATTTAATTTTTATACAAAACTTTTTAAATTATGAAATATTGTCCATTTCCCCCAATAAAATTAAGTTAAAAACGTTTTTTTCTTTTGACTGAAACGTCTTAAAAATTTCGAGTACATTTTTAAATTGAATCTAATTTCCAGATAAAATGGTAGAGAATAAGAAAGAATTGAATTTAGAAGAGTTTGAGATAAAAGAAAAAGATAGTTTCCATCAAGGAAGACATCCTTCTCTCTTCTACTATAGAGGATACATGTGCGGAGGCAGT